AACTACCCCCCCTCAAAAATTTCACCGTTGCATTTTTCTATGTGTAATTATGTGTATATAATATATATATATATATATATGAATGTATGAAAGTATGAATGTATGAATGTATGTATGTACGTTATGAAAGGGTGTGCCATACCATCTCTGGGCTAAAAATGTTGCATCCGGAGGACCCCCCCCCACATCTTTTGGAAGCCCAAAAAACATGTGGGGGGGGGTATATTTCATGTGGTCAGGTGAAATATTTCTCAGAAATTTCTTGCCTTACCCCCCCCCCCCAAATATTCCAGGGTTAAAGGGGGGGGGATCTATTTACGTACTTTTTTTGTTGCCATGATTGCTCTCTCTCTCTCTCTCTTTGTAGGAATAAGTGGTTTGACCTGTAATTTGCTGCATCATTCATTTTTCTGACATGCATGATTTTCACTAGAGTCACCATATGCCTTTGGGACTAGAATTACAATATGTCAATTTCAAGTTCTGAAATTACAACATAACTATAAGTCCCATATGCTTCAGGCAAGTAAGGTTTGAGTGCCAATGTCTATACCAAATTCATATATATATATAATAGTTTCACGAATCAATTGGGGCGACTAATTATATATTGCTAACATATCATTTTCATCATGTTCATCATTTTGGTAATCACTAATATTGGTTAATCTGCTGTTAAGCTCACCATGACGTAGATGGACCACGCCCAAACCACCACTCTGCCCACTCTGCCGATTGGATGGATCACAGATTTACCATGGCGCTTCCAACCCTTGGAAACAACATCAGTTGGGAACTTCTGCCCATTTCAGAAATTTCAAGTGAGTAAATAAATCAGCACACGAACTATTCACGCATATATACATATGTGTATATGTAGTAATCAGTTATGAAAAATGAATATTTGAAAAAAACATAAACATCCCTCCACAATCCCCCTTTAAATAGCTGTTTACTTTTGGATCTGTTGCTTGTTTTGGGAACGTTTTTCGGCGGATAGATGGCACATGATATACATAATTAGGTACTGCATAATACTGCATATGCATGTATATATATATATACATATATGTGTGTGTGTGTTTGTGTGTGTATGTGTCTATATAAGCATCAAAACAAAATAAAACAAATAACCACAAAATATAAAGAAATACACTTTTTATTTGTTTATCACTTTCTAACAAAGGGGGACCAGTTTCATCGCCTAGTCACCACACTTTGGACGTCTGCCAGCTCTTTGGCGTCGAAAAACTCCAGAGGGATGGTGATCCTACATCGCACACTGTGCATACAATGCGTTGGTGAAGCTCAAATGGCTCAAATAAAATACTCTCCGGTAAACCAACAGTTTGCTATTGAAAATGACCATAGAAATAGTGGAATTTCCCATTGAAAATAGTGATGTTCCATAGTTATGTTAGTTTACCAGAGGGTACATAAAGAACAATGTTTTCGGACAATGTTGTCGGACAATGTAAGGACAATGTGACGAGAGGTTCCAGCAAGTCCCCTGGGATTCAGTTCCCGCCAGACCCAAACTCCAGGCAGCACACATATCCCACATGATGAGGATGCAGGCCATGATGGACCATGCCAACCTTGGAGACCATGGATCCCTTCTTGACACATGGCACACACGGAAGTCGAAGGGAAAACCCTGGAAACTTCCATCGAAACCTGGAATTTCCATGGAAAACAAATGGGAATTTTCAAGGATTGATCTCGATTGATCATTGCCAAATGATGTTCCAAGTGACTGCAGGTTGTTCTGTGGCCTCACCACGAACCTCTGCAGCATCGAATCATCTGTTTGCGCTTCCTTGGTGCATGGCAAAGCTGTATCTCCACAGCATCTTCCCCACTCAACCCAGGGTTGGACCCTTCCAGGGCAAGCTTCGTTGATCTTCAGGTGCAGATTCCCAGGACCCATCGAAAAGCGCATCGTTCGTGAACGTTTGCGGTTCCTCGGCGCAGGGATCTGGGACATCCTGGGACGAAAGGTCTGTGGAGAAGATCTTGGAAGCGAACGCCCAAGAACCACACAAAAAAGGCGATGAGGATTTGCTGGAATCCTCAAAAACTTGAAAGAACATATCAATGGAAATTTCAGGATCCTAAAATGGGGGTACTGTACCATATAAGGCCATATTTTGGGGGTATATCCCCTTACATAGGCCTTACATAGGCCTTATATATGGTAGGTACCTCCAATTTAGGTTCCTGAAATGGCCATTGAACATAGGGCAAAATCTTGACATGCTGGTATGGAACAAACACGTATTGAATGGAAGGTATTCAACGCTGGGGAGCCTTGTGCTCAACAGGGTATTCAGAGTATCGAACGGAACGTCCAACCTATCAGTCTTGACTATTTTGACTCACAGCCATGTAAATCCCATGGTTTAAAAGGGTCATAAAGGGTCCAACCCACCAAGACTCCGAGAATCATCTTGCTTACAAATGAGCATTCCCTGTCAACTGTTTTTTCGGGGTTGGTTCAGGTGGCTTCTGGCCGTGAACTCAAAATATTCCCTCCCTTCAAGGCCAACTCATCCAACTCAAATCAAAGCATCAACCCGGTGCGACGACCAGAGTGAATTCGACTACAAAAATACCAAAAATCTTGAACTTCCCAGAAACCGTGTTGAAACATCCTCTCAGGACTCTTACTCTCCCTTTTTCAAACCGCAATTCCCCACATCTTAGGATCATCATGGAAGAGTGCCACGCACGACGCATGTGAAGGTCTTGGTGCTGCGTACTCTCCTTCTCAACTGGATCCAGTCCTGTGCAAAGATTCCGAGATCAGACCAGGAAGGTGGCACTGTAATTTTTAGTGCGAAACCATTCAGCTGATTAGCTGTCCAATAACAATTTTGAGCCGTACCCATGCAACTTGAGGATTCCTCATTTCTTGATTTCTGTTTGAAAAATGGCTAGACCCGTATCAAGATATGCTGGAGAAAAATGCATGAGCCGGGGTGGGGGGGAAGTGACACATTTCTCCATATGGACAGCCCAAAACTGGGCTATTCACGAGACAGCTTTCCAAGTGGAATGGGATCTATTTCGAATTCTACCAGTACAAGACCGTTGATGTAACTTCCGAAGTCTGACCGGAACAAACTTCTGGCCGCCACTGCTTAAATGGAGATGTCCCAGCTAAATAAGCAGAATCACCAGTGAAATCACACGCTTACTGGTTACTCTTAACGCGTGGGTTTCCCACACTTTGCCGTGAAAAAAAGGGTTGGTCTCAGCTGCCTGTGACATTCTCCAACCACTCTTGCTCGTAAAGGAGCTTTTGGGTCAAACGATTCCACCTGGCGTTTCTGTGGAAATGGGAAGGATGCGTCAAACTTGCGTATAACCAAGTGAATAATAGTGAGTAACATTAAATACTAAGTGAATATAGTACTAGAATGTACTAAAACATTTGATGGCTACCAACATCTGTTCTTGGGCCTGATTCGATTGACTCAACTCTTGCCATCTCCACTTGGAAGATAAAACGAAGTATCTACCAGCCTCTCGCCGTTTCCATCCATTTCCCCTGGTTGGTAGCCTTTTCAGCCTTAAATAATCTAGGCCTTTTTGCTCACGTTCAAAACTCAAGACCCTGATGACATTAAGATACATTGATATAATTATATATAATTATAAATATATATATATTATGATATAATGACTTTGTTTCCATTACGTGCCAACTCTCGCCCACGTTTCTGTTGGGTTTCGCTTTGGAAACTCAGGATTTAGATGTTCCATTTGCCATCTATCTACCCTAGATCTACGCCCTGCCTCAGTTGCACCGTGGATGGTTCGGATTCCTCCTCTGCATCCGTTTCTTCCAACCCTTCAGCTGAAACTTCTGTGGCTTCACGCGTAAGCTCGCGGCGCAAGGCAGCCAGTTCCAAGTGATGCTGCCCTGGAAATGTCATGGGGGAAGGAAATACCTTTAACGTTTGGTGATAATCCCAACATATCCCAACATTAAAGGCCCGAAACATTCGTTTAGTAGGGATGAAACCGCACAATTGGGACCATGGGAGTGTTTATAATATTAGGGGGTGGACTGCTGATAGTGGGCGGATTTTCTGTTGAACATGATGTTGGATTTCTGCTCATGTCTTTATTCACAGTTTTTCCTCCAACTAGGAATGCCGTGTCCCGATTTTTCCTTGAATATCTGTTGATATTATTTTGAGACGTTGTAATTACCCAAAAAAATCTCACCACCAAAGAAAAACAACAAACAGAAAGGTAAATCCCATCAAAATAGCAGTATATGACCATGTGATGGCATATAAGTATATATCATGATGTATAATGATGGTATTAAATATATCTTAATGAATGCATGCATATATACATATATAAAATAATTACTAATAATAATAATAAAATAATAGTAATAATAGTGATGTATTATAAATGATATAAATGACTGTTCTATCCCTTTGGAAAGTGTCTGCCCGTGAATTTCTAAGGCAGCTGCGTGGAGGATCAGCCCAGGGGCTGAGAAGTACCTCCTGCAGCACCTTGCACTGACTGGCCACCAGCTCTTCATAAGCCTTGCTGGCCTTCCTTGGTGATGGGAGACCATTCATCCGGCCCCATCCCGGAAAAACTCGTGACTTTCTCAGGTCATGGGTATGGGGAAATAATTGGGATATAATTTATATAATTATAAAATTGGAGCATCGTATTTACATAACGGCGTAAAAAGGACAATATATGAGGGTATAACAGGAAATTGGGTGGACAATGGGATACGTGGATATTGTTTTATAATGTTTAATATGAATATGGGGATATATATCTCCAATTCAGGATTTTATTTTGAGAGGAGATATGGGTTATGATAGTGGAATGTGCACAACAAACTTGACATGATTAATGTAATGGTGGTTTAAGCCTTGGGGGGTTTGATAGATCAAGAATACTAGCGGATATAACACCAACAAATATGGGGAATACTAGGTCCGATATATAACAAGTAGATCAGTAGTATTTATACCTGGGTTCAGTTCACAAAAAAGGCTTCCCCAAAATGCCAATTTCAAAAGTCAACCTGATAATCAGTCACCAAATTTTGGGGTATCCGTGTTTTTGACACAACCAAATCTCCGTCGCTCCAAACCAAGGGTGACATGTGAAACCTTGAAATTTGAAATAACTGTCTGGATTACAATCCTCATCTTGAAGGATGGGGTGATATTGCAATCCTGAGCCATCAAGCTCGCACAGTCAACATAGTCAATGGTTATCATGTATGAATGAGCCACAATGGCTGAAACTGTAGGCCTCTTTGGCAAACATAGCCAGGAACAAACATCTGCTGGTCAGGGGAAAGGACTGCCACTGGATCGTCAGCCAAGCAGTACAAGGACATGCTCCCGTACCCCCTGCCGTCGAGCCAAGGGACATTGGCATGTTCTTCGACATGAGAACCCCAAGCGGCTCGTGGGGCGCAGATGCCTTCTCCCACTTTCTTTTGAGCCAGGGGTGGGCTGCGAAGCCAAGTTGCATATACATATAATATATAAATTATATAAGAAGGAACTTTTGCTATAAGAAGGAACTTTTGCAGGTTCAACATGTCGGCTGCAAATTTTTGGTGATGGAAATGCAGAAGTCAGTTGGGTCAAGTTTGGCTTCTGCGGGATGTACTACGGACACTGCCCAGCATCAGTCTAGGCCGATCTAAGTCTGAGTAGAAATTTCCTTCAATATCTTCAATCTGCTGCGTAAGCCTCCGGAAAACCTTTGTGTCGCAGCGGTTTTGAATCCAGTGATTAGTGGCTGGTCCCTATGTGTTCAAATCAGCACTGCACCTCCTGCACTTGGGAGTGGCTCATCCCAGGACCAATCCTCAGAGATAACACTGACTCGAAGATCGCTTCAGTGTTGGGTCGGTAGAGTCTACCGATTTGATTCTTTTTTGGTGATGTGATCAATGTGATCACATCAACATTGATCACATCAAACTGTGGTTTTCAAAAAAACATATTAAACATGATTAAATTAATATATATATATATGTGCATAGCAACCAGCAAAAACCAAGTTCCAAAGGTTCCAAAATTGATATTCTCCAAACTTCCCCCAGCTTCCCGCCCCACCGAGCCCAGCAGCGTTTCATCTTGCAGAAACGCCAGCAGCTGCATCATCTCCTGGGCTTTCCGCAGCAGGATCCGGGGGGACCGCCGCAGCACCTGGAGCTTCAGGCTGAACTAACTGAGCCTTTTCCTAAACATGTTTTGAACCAGGTCTGAAGGGAAAACGCAGTTCGAAACTTGGATTTTTTTTGGACACTCTTTATCATTCTTTATCATAGATTGTTGAGGTTAAACCTCGAGCACGATGATGTAAGAACTCCAGAAGTTCATTCACCGAGGCAACAGGGAAGCAATGACCTCTCTGGATGGGATGGTAGCAGCGAGAAGGCCCTATAGAAGATGAGTGGCCCATTGCCAGATGGTTTTGTCTGACAAGAGGGAGCCCGAAATGATTCATCTATCCATATTTTTATCATTTCATGAGGTATCTTCCAAAATTGAAGGACAGACCAATTTCATCTCATCTCAGGTTGGTTACAGACCAATTTCATCCAATTTTTCCTAGTATTTCCTAGTTATATCACCATGTTTTCCCATAAGAACCGTGAGTTTCTCGTGAATCCGTTGTGAATCCGTTGGATCGGCGCCTTTGCCAGTGGAATCTCCCACTGCTCAAAGACTTCCACGAAGTCCCGCAGGTCCTTCTGGTCGCACAGCAGGGCCTGCAGTGGGTCCACCCAACCCGTCCCAAAGGGCGATGGCAGAGCCAAAGGGGGTTGAAAACAATCGAAAACATCTCCAGGTAGGGAAAGATGGGAAAGCTATGAGGTACAGATTGTGTAGTTCACTTATGTTCACTGTGCGAGACATTTGGGAAAAATGCAGCCGGGCATGGAACATTTTTGAACCAAGCGCTTGTTTCAACAAGACCAGGATTGGAAGGAGGGAAGCTATGCAATTTTCTGTCTTGGGGATTCACATAAAGCACATCTACTCTCTGCAATTTTGTGCAAGGATGCAATGCAAGTAACAGAGATAGCGTGATTGCAGCAATTAGTTTTTGCACACAGTAGTCTTGCGGTACTTTCCCTCTCATATCAGCTATGCTCCTGTACAAAGGTAAGCAAAGTCAGCAAATCAATATTGACAATGTCCAACATCTCATATAGAACTTCCTCTCAAGGAAAAAGCTGCGATAGGCTGTCCTTCCTCAAGCTCAACATGCTCAATCGAAAGTGATTACACCTCAAGTGCTCCATGTCAAACCGCAAATCCAGCACCGTGTCCTCGGGACAGTCACGAAGAGTCCCAGTAAACCTCGGTGAAATTATGAGGCGACAAATGTTGCCACAGTAAGCATGGAACAAAAACATCTGGGAATGGGATGGACATCTACCAAGCAAAACCCCACACCCCAATTTCAATGCTGAACAAAACTCGAACGTAGCTTCCTCTGCGTTCAAGGGTTGATTTTGTTGCTCAAGCGTACAGCCCAAAGACAAACTTGAAATTTGGGGGTGCGGGGGTGACAACAATCCAGCAGGAGCCTGATTTCATCGTTCATCTACGATAGTAAGGACAAAAATGTACAGTCTACAATAGTCTACATATACATTGATCAAAACGATTTAGGGGATGAAGATCCTTTTTGCCGGCTACTTGAGTCTTTACCAGGATACCCATGACCACAAGGCTACAATCCCGTGGCTTTTCAGGTTCGGACTGCTCGCCCAAGGCTTCCCGAAGGACCAAGGCAGACGCCTGGAATGGGGCTGAATGATGCTGACTGATTTTGCCTTGATTTGACCCGTTCCCCTTGGCCCTTGGTGACATCATGTCTGGGGTTGTTAAATTTCACCCAGTTATTGAATATCTGACAGAAGTGGCCTCCAAGCTTGTTGGATCAGCATCCAGAAGCTCCGGATGCCGCAACAGGCCGGAACGCAACTCCTCAGAGAAAGCAAGTCTATCCTCTACGATTTTGTGTGGGAAGAATGATGAAACTCAGCTTCCATTCTGCAAATGTAGCATTGGCCATTGGCTGACCCAAGCTCCGGATCCTTTGAAGATGGAATGATATGAAGGAACCAAGGATCAAAACTCACAAGGCTTAGAGATGTTTAGATACGTCTTGACTTTCCAATCCAGCTGCCCATGCTATCCCTAGCCGCTCCTCCTCCTCCAGACCAGCGTTGCGAAGAAAAAATCGCACCTGCTGTGGGTCAAAAACTCATGGATGCCTAATGACTCAGTACTTACATCCGCCCAAATATGGTTGACCACAAAAATGGTATATACACCATCTATGAATAACAAAAATGGTATATACACCATCTATGAATAGGGATTCTCAATGTAAACCTGGCTGCACCTATGAATAAACCCGCTGAATCTGATCACCCAAATCATCACCTCGTTGGCACATGTTGGCACTTGACGTGCAACGAGCCCATTTGGCCCACATGGTCGGGTTGAAGTGGATGAAATATCAGTATATTATATACCAATAAAAATAGATGAGATGATATGAGATGTGTATAAATGTGCATAGATTAAACAAAAGAACACATCGATGCTTATATAGAGCAATTCTGATGCCTGGGCCCGGGCTGTCTCTGCAGATGCAAAGCGCACATTGGCTGATCCGACCTGACGAGGTGGCTGGACAGCTCAATTTTGAGCAGCTCAATCATGCCAAAATCTTCAAAAAACAAACGTATGCAGCACTGCATTTAGGATGTTTACAATGTAACATTTATAGGTATATATACAATTAGTTTTTATAATTATGTATACATATATACTATGTATATATATACGTAATATATTTCGTGTTGAAACATATTCAAAACCATGGGTTTGGGGCCCCACGGGGGGATCTACACTCCCGCGCCTGGGTGTTGGAACCCCATGCCTTGCGCCATGCGACCAGTCCATAAGAAAACCACCTGGAGCAATCGCTGTGCAATTCGGAGAGTAGCGGCACTATAAACAAATGGTTGATACTGGAACCGGGGCAAGCTTAACTTACTGATATCCCATTATATTCCCAGTAAAATAAGCATGTTGTGCGTTGGTGATTTCAAAAAGTGAAGAACCCTTAAAACCACAATGTTTTTAGTCACATCACATTTTTTATAGATTTTGGTTTGTTCGTTAAATCCCCATGGTTAAAGCCATTGATCTTGCCACAAAAGACCTGCTACTTCGAGCGGAGCAAGCGAAGCCAGCGGAGCGCCACAGCACATTTGCCATGGCCCGTGGGACATGAGGTCAGTTGGTGACGTTGGGACGCGTTGGGACTTACATCTCAACATGGATCATCAACTATATCAATTATGAAGCCTAAATAGTGGGGATATGTGCACATAAAACCTGCACAATACTGGGTCGTGATGGGGACATATGGTGTGATATACAACCAACTTGATATGATACTTGCGTGTGTCTGAACCTGGTTTAGATGCCCGCGCAAATATTGCCATTTAACAATGACAATGCATGAAACTTGGGGTTATACTCTACTACTTTTGATCATGAAGAACTACAACATAATTATGAAAATCTTGAACTCAAAAATGCTCAAAGATTATCTTTGTGTATTTGGCCCTATTGAAAGACCATCTAGCTGATCAACTTTATCCACTTAGCAAGTCAGTTTCTTCGGCGGCTTGTCTGATGATGTCAGATGAAACTTGTATTTGCAGGAGCCAGTCAGCAGTCTGCGCAGTGGATGAATGAGTTCCTCTGGCCATTTGCATGTATGAAATGGAAGTTGCCGCCTGGAAATCCAAACTTGTGCCACAGCCTTTCCAAGGCCCATATATCCTTTTCAGCCAACCATAATCGCCCTTCTCAACATTTCTCAACTTGACTGGGCATCACTGGGCCAACACGCAGGAAGTAGAATTCGCGACCGCGGAAAAGCCTGGCGCAACACGTTCAGTGGCCAATGAAACATGTTGATGATTATTGTTAATATGACTTTTACTATATCACTAGTATTACTCTTGCTAATACTCTCCACACTACGTATATCATTACTGTATCATTAATGATTATGATAAACTTTGATGGTCATACTTCATGATGACAGAAAAAGAACAACTAAACGTGAAAACATGTGAAAATCGAGGCGCCCCCTTCCCATCATAGTTCTTTCATTTCCTCCCAGGAATCACTTCTTAGAATTTCATTCAGCAACCAATGCTGATCTGATTCTATTACTATTACACAATCTTACTATATCATCTATATCATCATTAAAACTAAGTTTCATCATCTCCTGTCATCATATCTGCCTCCCCTCCAGTGGTCTCTTGGACATATTTCAAGAAGTTCAAGTTCCCTTGCTCCGATTCACCTCAATGGCAGCGGGTGAAATGACAGATGTTGGAAGCATGACACAGTCACAAATACGCGAACAAATATAATACCGCAAGTACAAGATATCCATAAGCACATTGTAGACGGAACATATTGACAAATTTTATGTATATATATGTGTGTGTGTGTTTGTGTCATATAATATGTTTTTAAACAAATAAATAATATGAACACCTAATAAGTTATAATTATTACAGTTGAACATGGTTGCAACATGTTCTCGGCTGGCTGTTTTTCCCTGGCTGGCCATGGAGAAAAACGTTGCTCAGATGATCCCAGCTTTGCAGCTTGGGATCCTAGGTCGAGGGGCCACGGCGGCATCGAAGAAAATTAATCTTGAGAGGCTTGGAACCGTTTAATGTATGTATATATATATATATTTATTTAATTACTTGATATATATATATATATATTTGTGTATATATATATATAATTATATATTCTGTGTGATGAACTTTAAAACCATTCATGTGATGACTTCACCATCATCCAGATTCAATTTTCTGTTTCTCCGTCCACTCCGTCCAAATCCTCCATGTGCGGCCCCTCATGATCCCCGAACATCGCCACATCGCCGAGTCAGCGGTGGAGGAATCGAGCCGAATCAATGGATCTTTGGTGGGTTCCTCTGGTAATCTTCACCGGGCTGGAAAATACCCTACGCATATCCGAAGGTTTGTCTAGCCGTCTAGCCCATATCTGGATTCTCCAAAATCCATAATTTTGGGCATAAGGCCGGGCAGTATTCCCTGCGAGATCATTGCGACATACTGCGACATTCCGTATACCCGATGCAAGGTGGGGCCAAACGGTAGCTAAGTCAGCTAAGTTGGTGCAAAACAACTAGGTTCACTATAGGGTTTATGGTAATCACATCTGACAACCTCAAATAAATGGAGGTTGTAAACCATTATAAACCAACAAACATCACCAGGGGGGCCATAGAAATAATGATTTCCTGCCGCCGCGTGAGGAGCACTGCTGCCACCCGGAAAAATCGGTGACGGTGCGCGGCTGCTCCGAGAGTCTTCAAAATTCCCAGCACGCAGGTCGCACCCAAAGCCTTGCCCTGATGTGTGACACCCATGGATCCTGATGGGTTCGGCGGTTCGGCGGCACCAATGTGATTCATACAGCATATATCAGCATATAATATTGATGAATAAGTAACAGCACGGGCATTGTTATGATTATCAGGCGTTCGCACAAGTCTTAGTCGTAGAATCTTAGTTTTTTTTTGAACAGAGGTATCACTGCGATTTACAGGATCTCGCTTTGATTGTATGTAGACAAGTTGGCCATCCCAAGCATCAATCACCAACAGTTTCCACACTGTAGGCAAGGGTTGCGCGGCACAAACCTCGACTCGGCACACTGCCAGTTGCACAGAATGAGCCAGCGGAAAACTCCTTGAAACGCGCTCTCATTGAGTGAAGACCGCCACAGCAACTGCGCAATCTGTGGTAGTTTGACCATTTTTGATCTGGAAATAACTGGGAGGAAAGCACAAATTTGCTCAAGCTGCAGCGCAAGGATTACTGTACTAATCACATTAAAATCTGGTCGTCAAACTATATCTTGAGATAATTTGACGACATGTTGGGGGCTCTACAGTTTTCCTCAAAAGCTCGGAACATCAAACCTTTCCCACCACTGGTTTCCCCATGTCAACCCAACCAGTCAGTTTGATGGAATGGGAATTGTTTCCAATTCTATGAACGTGCCTTGTCAATACGAAATGGTCAACAGCCACTCTTCATCCTTTCTTCCAGTTGCTTGTGACGCGGGTCAGATTATTGCGGATCTTTTCACGCTAGTGTTCAGCCACCACATGTACCTTGTTTGCAACATTAAAGACACAAACCAATCAAGAAGTATTTCATTAGTTCCGCACCCCAAAAGTACGTGTAAAAAGAATGGCTGCAACAGTGTGAAAAGGACCCGTTTGCCAGCGGATTCCGCGAAGGTTTCCCTATCCATGGCAGGTCAGGTGGAACATCTCCTGAACGGCACATGTGGCACGTGGTCATGTTTGGAGAAAGCGTGTCCGCATGTAGTCTATATATATATCGTTATGTTTATTGGCAAGCTATTGTCCCTTTGGTATTGGATGGGCATCAATGGGCATCAATGGGCATCAATGGGCATCAATGGGCATCAATGGGCATCAATGGGCATCAACATGTGGGCAAAACTTGCCAAAACAAACCAAGCAACTTAGAACAACTTAGAACTAAGTACCTCAAGAATCTTCAAGAAATCTCAGGAACTCACCAGCATTTGACCATTGCGGTACTTCGGTGGCAGCGACGGCGATCCGCTCCTGCACTATGTCAACGCCAGTTTTTGTTTGCGGCGTTCTGAGGGGTACCTGAGCCGAGGTTCTCGATCAACCCTTTGGGGGGCGGTCAGGGAGGTCATTGCCTCGGTTCCCTAGGATGCCCGGACCCCCCAACAAAAAGAACGCAAGATCCGCAAGATCAAATTCCAAACCATCAACCACGAAGAGTGTATAAGATTGTGAACAACAACAGGTACTAAAATCATCCAACAGATTCCCATCATAGTTGGTGAGTTTGAATCCAGTTGATTGGATGCAAACGTTACCATCCACACTATGCACAGCAGCATTGACACATCTAAACCACTGCATTCAGGTTTCATTTGCTTGGCATCTCTATTTTGTTTTTCTTCACACATGAAATATCCGTTGGCCGTTGGTATGCCGTTGGTAAATCCCAAGAGATTGTTGAAACCACCAAGTTAACCAGCAAAGTTTCGCAACATTTGGTGATGTAAAAACATAACATAAAGCGAAATCCCCTGCAGGCGTTCCCAAAGAACAACTCAGGCTTAGCTCCCAACTGCAAATTCCATGCCAAGCCCATCATCTCGGTTACGCATGCAGGATTCATCTGAGATCTTCTGGGAGAATTGACTATGTGTATGTAAATATGTACATATATGTTACATATATATATATTATATATATATATATATGCATACATACATATATACATATATAATCATATATACATACATACATATGCATATGCATGCAACTGTTTCCAACATGTATGTGCAGGCTTTTCTTCTCAAGAGCAAGCCTTGTATCTATCTAGATCATCTATGTGTTTTTCTTTAGATTAAAAAATATATTTAAATGTGTATATTATATTATATAATTCTATATGAATACACACACATAGACATACACACACATATATATATAATATGTTACTCTCCTCCAAGCTCAAAAACCTTGATGAAGTGAAGCCGTCGGGTTCACGGCTGTATCTGGGGCATCCACCTCCAGCAGCCGAATGGCATACCAGGTGAAGTCCACCTGCCAACATTGGTTGGAAGGCAGGTCTAATGTAATCCAATCCACACATAAACACACACACATAAATATAACATATATATATGATTATGTATATGATTATGTATATGTGTATATGTGTGTGTGATGATAAAATATACAAAAACAACTATATATGTTTATATCATATATGTATATTATATGTGTGTAAATGTGTGAACTGGTTACCAGTCCTCCCAATCTCGTCAGCACCACCCAATCTTGTCAAACAACGCTGTCAATCGATTATGGTATTCAAACATGACTGTCCCAAATTGGTCACACATACGGTGGATGGTTGCGAACTCCTGCACCAGTTGAACACGGTGGATTATCCAATGATTTAAAGGCTTTCAACCATCCTTTTGGTGTAGGATTTCGCAACCATCCACAAGATCCTCACCCAATCCATGCTCCCCAGTCGTCCTCCCCCGAACCGGGCCTGCCACCACTTCAGCCCATGCCTGCAGGATCGCTCGAAGGCGTGGTGGTTGTTGTGCCACCCTTC